CGTTTACGACCGTCTCTACTACTGTTAGAAAGTAGTCAGAGACGGTTGTAAACTTAATTTTTAATAAAATTCATTTCAATAATATTATTGACCGCCTTCCAATCATTTCATCTACATCGGGGACACAGTAATAATGCATGACTTAAGTCACGCAATAAAGCGCCACAAAAGGCTTAAAGAGTGCAACAAAAATGCCTCACTTGCCGCAGAAAAGATCAGCTGTTTTGCAGGGCAAGTAAGCATAGAACAACCGGCATCCTTAGCGCATATCACTATCATGTAAATTAGAATAATTTTTATGAGGCCATTATAGTATGTTTATCGTGATTAAGCATAAATGTGTCCAGCAGTAGAAATGACATACATTTATGTGCCTTTTTTCATTGATTGCAACGAAATCAATGTACGCAAACAACGTCCGTTCATGGACACTCATATACGAATTTATTCTGATCAGCTTTATAACTTGGCGTCCCGTGTAGTCGAGCACTCACAAAAAGCCTCTCGTTGACCCAATAATATATTTCAAAGGATATATTGATCTTTAATATATGTGAATAAGTCTACACTTCTCAAAAATTGAGGTTACGTCAACATTGATGTAGCTAGCTTTGAGACGTTGCTGCTGTTTATATTAACACTAATAAGAAATCCTAAGCGTAGTTGTTTTTATTTAAGATCGAAGTAATCCCTTCTGATCTAATAGTCTGAGAGTTTGTGCAAATGTGTTGCACGAGGGCAGAGTGTGTAGATTTTTGTAAAATATTAGTTAGTATGGTCAGAACGAGAACATACCTTGCGCATTGTTGCGCCGTTCGAGCGCAATATTTGCGTTGTAGCATGATCGTAAGGTCGACTTAATGGCGCAAGTCGCTCGTGAGGCACTTAGACGTCATGCGTAATAGATCTTAAATTCCAACTGTGTAAGTATGCGTGAGAAGCCAATGGATATATATAACAGGGTTTCAATTTCATGCAGTTTTGTCATTAGGTTGAATGCAATTACCACTAGCTGGAAATAGCAACGTCTTGATGTTGCTTATGTAATTTTATAGAGTCTGTTTTGTTACAAAACGAAAAATTAATTTAGGGATATGCTATTCACCACTCACTTTTCGCTAACCACCACTCACCTAAATAAAAACACCCTGCATACTTCTCTCGCGCGGTAATTGGCTAAATATACATTAGCTAAAATTTTATAAGAAGTGCAATCTTTCACGTAGAATCATAAAAATGGTTGAAATTTGACATATGTTTACCCACTTTTTAGTTTTGCTGTATTCTAGTTGATATCCGCAGGCGCTAGCATGTCCAGATACTGCTACTAAAGTTTTGGTGGGTATCCAAAGTGCTTCCATTCTTCCTCAGCACCAATAGCATTGGACTTTACCTATGAAGCTACTGTGGGATTCGGAAGAGGAGGTTGACATCATCTTCCTTTAATGTGTCTTGCTTCTCCACAGTTACCACATTGACGTACAGGCTGCAAAGATTTCACCACAACTTCAAAATGCGATGGATCTCGCTGAGTAGAACTCTGAAATAGGAATCCAAGCGATTGGTGCTTAAAAGCATTAATATGTTTTCCGCGTCCATGCTGCGCAAATGGGTTTGAAACGTTCACTTATGGTAGCATACTAGATGGTCAAGGTTAACTCGCTATCTATACGAGGTTTCCATTCCAATGTCATGTTAATGTGCGCTCCATTGATGTGGTTGCTTCATACGTTACCTCTTTTGTCAAAAAGGCTGCACCAATTACCAGTATGAAGCAATATGTCCGTGCTGGTACAAGTGAATATTGAACGTCGAAGTTTGTGTAACAATAGAGCGTTCGTTATGAAGGTGAGCGAGTTTAGTCGTTGTGAGCTCATTTCTAATAATGTATTAGCCAATCACAATTTTAGTAAAATGAAGGGTGAGTGGTGGTTAGCGAAAAGTGAGTGGTAAATAGCAGATCCCTAAATTTATATATCTATCGTTAAAGACGATCGACACACAAAATCATAACATCACATTTTCCTGCATGGTTCTCTCATGTAGGACGCGTATGGTGGTAGTGTCTACAACGCGATATCGAAGCAGACTTATAAATTGTAGTGGGGATATCGTGGCTGCACCTTCACGATAAGGATGTCATCTCGACTGGCGGGGGTGGAAGTGCAGCTAAAACATGCGTTTCTCACAGTTCGCACGACACACCGCGTGAGAGATATATTGCATAATCTACCTGACAAGAATATTGCTTAACGTGTAAATAAGCTGAAAAGAAGGGCTCGTACAAGTATGACGTGCTGATTGAAGGCATTTTTTAAACACGCATTAGCGTGTAAGATCACACGTCTTTGCAAGAACCCCCTGACCTTTTGCAATCGATAAACCGTTCGGATACTATGCCTCTACAATAGCTGCCTAACAAGTTCTGTTTACCTCCCACACTCTGTTTCTTCTCTACTGATCTAAGAAGCGCTAGACCATGCGTTTGCCTTTGTGCTAAGAACATACGTCACAGGCCAAGTCCGCGTCGAAGTAAGTGTGTCTAAATCCAGGTTGATGATATTCGATTTTTTAAATGCCCGACGGTTCGGTCTGCAAGACCAACGTCGCGACATGCTCAGCGAGCTCACTCTCCCTCAGAACAGATTGACCGAATTCAACTCCGTCTATTGCTACATCTCACATGGAGGCTACATGTTGTCTCGAATACATTCGATCATACGCGCGTGCTTGATCTTTAGACTCACCGGCTAATGCGGCCTACAACCTGGGTCAAAAACTTTAGATCTGGATGAGCTTGCACGCTATCGACTCACGCACGATCTCCACGAGACTGCTTTCATCACTCAAAGTTGCAACGGCACCTCTATGGCCATTGACACGTTATTTGCATCAACAAGACCGTTTTCCACAATTCACGTGATTCTTTCATAGCCCTTCTCCAGCTTCAGAACCTTCGCACTGCACAGCACAGCGCAAAAAATTCGTATCGGAACCCCTTGACTTCGGCTGCCTCAAATAGCGCGCATTTGTAATCAGTATGACGTTCACCTTGCACGACTGGTCATATAACGATCCAGACTCAAGACAAATGAAGTAGTGGGCTGCTCAGTCGGCAACAGCGATATTTTGCGCTAAAGAAGGAGGTGCTACAGGCGTACAATAAAGCATTCACGGACATTGTAAAATGCCTTACCGTTTGCTCAACCCACCTTACTTACCGGGTACACGATACATAGCTCGTAATGTCGAATGAACTATTCGATCTTTGTCCGTCAGTGGTAAATGCACAAGCGCATCAATCGACCGATGAACCATTTCTTCTCAACCACTTCTGCATTAGAGCGAAACTATCGGTGCTGAGTACGTGTGCAAGCAAACAAGTAAAACGTTATCAAAATATATATTCGCATGTGTACTCAGCATGTAGACATCTATATATTACTACATCACGCCCTTTCCTTCATCTCGCATTACAGCGTTTTATGCTGTACCAACATCTACCTAATCGATAATACATGCGCCATCGCGTCGCGGGTGTAGACGCATTTTGACCGCGTTTCTTTTTGTAAGAGCACCCAAACATCCTTTGCGAAACTCTCAAGATCATGATGGAAAATACTCTTTGGAGTAAACCCTGACGAAAATTCGTTAGAACCTCGGCACCGCCGTTTCCTGTTAGCGATGGTAGATCAACGTGGTACCGAAGAGGTATGCAGCCATCAAGGTGTCTATCGCTCCTTCTGCCGGCTTCAAAGCTGCTGCCGAGCGCAACCGAACGCAATTGCCGCATTTTACCTTCAATGCACAATAAAGACAAAGAAGCTCTGGTCCGAGGTTGTGTGTTATATCCTGCCTCGCAAAGAGTGGATTCTGTTACATTCAACTTGTTGGCCCTATCTGGTGATCAGACTCGTACATCCACTTCAGCCGACGATCGGCACTTTGGCTTTCACTTTCTTAGTCTGATTCAACATTCGACAGTAACGGCAGTCCCGCCTACTTCCAGAACTCCACTTGAGAGATACTCTAGGTCATGAGCTCCTCTAGTGTGAATGCAGCAATAAGGAACCTCCGGATGTCTTTCTTAATCATAAACGGACTTACAATATATCTGCAAAGAGTCACCACGACGTTCGTAAGCGCCAGTTTCCTCCGATTACGTTGACAGGGCATATTTGTGTGTTTATCTGATTTCGGTGTGAAAGACGCGTGGGGCTTCTTGCACGCAAATGCGTACGTCCCGAGCACAATACGATAGGCAACATACTGAGCAATGTCGACTGCATTCGAAATGTGCCTATACGAATTGGGGTGTTGTAACTTATGTGTCAGTCTTTCGGCAGAATAAGGCCGGGATGTTATTTTATGTAAGAAGAATCGACGGCTCAAACATGAATAGAGCTACGCAAAAGAGCATTTTTATCATTCTTTTGCTAAGCTTTTGACCAAGGCTGCTCGATGTATTTGTCGGTAGCTACGCGTTCACTGAATGTAAAATAGAGTCGATCAAATGAGTGCTTTGCTTCCAGCTCACCAGCCAATAGATAATTCGAGTAGCTTCTTTTCTTGCCAGATAAAATGTAAATTACACTGGTATTCTGTCTGCCTCGAATATATTCCGCTACTCACTCTATTTCCACCAAGCCCCTCTCTGCCTATTCGAAGCTAAACGGGCCTTGCTTCTCTCAGTCCGTACTAGCCGCATCACGTCCCCAGTTATCGTTTCGCTGCTTACACCGCACTACCTGTGCTACACGAGCGCACGGCAAAGCAGCTGCGCGAGCTGTAACAACTTCTTTACAAGACGAAGAGCGACTGGCGTTACGCGTAAGCATAGCGCGGACGCTGTAGCTCCTATCAGTTGCCGAGAAAATGGTCGGTACCAGTAGCTTTCTCGTTACGAGCGTCTTGCACAATAGTAGCTGTACCCGGTCCATCGGCTCTGCTATCAACGTGCTGCACTTTCACGGGTGTTGTGTCTTCCACGCGAGAGCGCGATGGTCGCGACGGCTTTTCTTCCGTGCTTTACTAACAAGACATTTTCTTGACGCTACTGCTGGTGCTCTTGCTGCTGTCTGTAGGCCAAGGTCCGTTATACCCAGCGGTTCCCACTAGGCACGCGCGTGAGTAAGTGTTTTGCCGGGTACCGCAACCCTTTCAAAGGCTCGGTGGACCAGCACTCGGACCAGACGCATTTCTACCATATTTCGTACGATGACGGAGACAGTGAGGAGATGACGGAAGACGACGTTCAGGCGCACCTCCTCTACGTGCCAAAACCTCAAAATTCATTCACGCCGCCTAAAGCATTCAACCGGAGCAAGATTTACACAGCAAGGAAGCCGTACCCGCCGTCTATCGAGAAAACGACTGACAGTGGCAGCAGTGCAAGTACGTCCATGACAGTTGCAGTCGTACCATCTCCCACGGCATCAGAAGGAAATAAGAAACCTACAGTGCTGAGTCTCAATGCAAACGCGCCAGGATTGTCGGGCAGCATCGGTCTCAGTGGATCTTCCGATTCCTGTGCAGCGACAAGTGCACCGCTATCCGTGTCCATTCCAGCTTACTCGTGTGAAGAAGAAGAGGAAGAAGAAGAAGGGGTAGATAACGAGGAGGAGGAAGAAGAAGAGGAAATGGTAAATAACGACGATGAGGAGGAAGAAGATGAAGCGTTGCTAGAAGGCACTCCAGAGGAAATCAACCTGCTTATCGGCAAGCCCGTCATGAGAACAGTCGCACAGGAAGGATGTAGTACTGACGTGTTACAGGGTACTGTGGCAAGTTATTTCCCAGCCACGAAGATGTTTCGCGTGATGTATTTCGACGGAGAGTGTTGTGATCTTTCGTATCAGCAATTACTCGACATTATTCCGGCAAATTCGCATCCGATCGGGAGCAATGGAACGAAAAAACGAAAGGTGGAGAGGAGGTCTCGGAAGAAGGAGAAAAGGACGAAGCCGAGTGCTTCATCGTCGTCTCCGAAGTGGCCTCAGACTCTTGACTTAACTGCTCCGTTATCCGCAACTAAAGTCACTGGACGGATAAAGCCGGGTTTCATGGCATATTCCCCGGCATCTGACGATGCACAGTCGCCTGTGACCCCAGTGGTTTATGAGACAGATATGGCGACAGTCGACAACATCGAGTACAACATTGTTCGCAAAGTGCTGTTTATCATTGTAAGTACCGTGAGCAACATGATGATGGAGGCGCAGTTAGAAGCTCTATCTTCGGCGGATCTAAAGGTACGCTACAAAATTGTTTAGCTAAAGTGTCAGTGGTATCTTTGTGTGTCGTGCCAAGTCGCGCTAAGTTTGTTGCCCTTTTCTTTGCCATCTAGGACAAAGAAGCGCTGGAGACGTTTGTTCAGAAAGATGGACTGACCTCATTGGCAGAACTGCTGTCCAAATGGGAAGAACAAGAGGAGACAGAGCAAGGAGTACTGCTTATTTTAAAGGCAAGCACTAGAATGATATGGACTGGCAAGTGTTGGCACTCCTGACTAAAGATTTACTTCACAACAGGCTCTTGCAGTACTGCCTGGCGTGACGAAAGACGTAATAATGGACAGCAGGATTGGTAAGAAAGTGCGGGGAATCGAAAAAAGTAGATGTTACAGAGATGTTGCGATACCTAGCCTCGCGACATGGGTGATTCAGAAGCTGAAAGCCGATGTCGGAGTTCAAAAAGCGGACCAAGGTTCAAGTTTAAGAGACAGCGGCGAGGCTGGACGCTACCAGAACGGCCAATCACGAAAAACCGGTCCAACATCAGAATCGTTCGGTAGTCGTGGTGATGGAAAACAAGACGATCGCTCTGTTATGGAGAAATCGACGGACAGTCCGCGACCACAAGAAACTGCACGAGTCAAAGGAAAGCCGTTTTCTTTTCCGAATGGTAGCGGTAAGCAGTCCAAGTCAGCGAGTCATTTGCTAGACCTGATGAGTATGTATGCTTTGTGCCCATTTGCTCGTCGATTTATCTTACTTACTCGTGGGTTGCTTTGTGCTGTAAGAAGACTCACGGAATGGTCGAGACACGAACAGTAGTTGCCGTGACCGAGACATTTTTGGGAATGTCGTCGGCCCTAGGAAATCGGGCAAGCTTGGGACGGCAAGTAATTGGCGAGCCCGGCGCTCGACCGTGGTGCTGGATCAGGTAAGCAAGCGATTGACTGGCAATGTTCCAGAAATCGACATTGTGAAGTTAACAAAGGTCGGAGACGATGATTGGAGACCGTCCAGGATCTCATTTGCGCCGAAAGACTCAGTGTGCGCGTTTGACAAGGAAGTCGCAGTCTCAAAACTGCTCGTCTTTCGTCCGTTTGGGACAACAACGGCACCTGAACGGGTGCCCGTAAAGCCTCAGGTGGGTCCCTTGCGATCAATCCTCCGTGCTAGTCGTTCTCCTCCTGCAACGGCAGAGGAAATGCCGCAGGTGACAGAAAACAACACCGCTTCGCCTGCCGTCCATTGAAACAACGTTTAGTAGATACTGAAATTGTTTCTGCGAAAAATGCTTAAAGTTTCGGTTTGAGTGGAATATTGTGTGTACACTCACCCCTCTCTATAAGAGACACCCTCTACAAGAGACACCCTCTATAAAAGGGTCGCAGTGTCGCCGAGCATTTCAAGCTACATAGGAATTTGTAAATCGATCTCTACATAAGCGAGTAAGATACAAGACACGAAAAACACTCGCCCATTTGAAGTGAACACCCTCTTATATGACTCACTACCCCTACATCAGATGCTGAAAAAGATACGTGGCATTTGATGTGACAGTTGTTCTAGCCGAATGGTTTGCCTTAAACCTTTTTACCAACGTCATAGAACCACAGACGTGACCTAAAGAAAGACATAGAGCATGTCATAATAGGTGAGCTTATGATGCCCGTATTACTGATGACGTCATGACGACAGATACAGAAGACGAAATTTATTAACTTCGTAAGGCAACAGATAGGGAGAAATAATTTTTTTTCGCAAATACTCGACTACACCACTTTTTACAACACGTCCGCCCATGAACATCAAGCCCGTGCAACCAATGAGTTCAACAAAGCGAGTATTTATCTCTCTAGAGCAAACGTACGAGGTCTTTCAACACTGCAAAGAACCTTCAAACATCCGCTTTTACGAAGTGCAGAATTATGTGAGCATTCAGTTTCATCACATCATTAGTAAATCACGGCGCATCGGCGCATCGGCGCATCGGCTCACGGACATATGAGAAATCGACTTTAAGGACTTAAACCATAATGTAAAAATGAAACGACATGTGATGCGTCCTGACTTCGAGAAGGAGCTGCTGAAATTCGTTCTCGAGCGCGAGAGTGACGGGTTATCTGAATATCTGGTCCTGGAGAAAGCAGACAGACTGCGAGTGAGCCATAATATTGAAGATCACGATATCAAGCTTTTCGAAGACTGACTCCGGAGTTTCAAGAAGCGGAACAACATCAAAAGCCGCGCGTTGACAGGCGAGATCTAAAGTATATATATAGAGGATATGCAAGCAGCAAAGTCTGATATCTGATATCTGATTGAACAATATTCTCCGAGTGATGTGTTTGGTTTTGATGAGTCGGCCTTATTTTACGACTTGCCACCGAACAAAACCCTATCCACGGCTCGAAACAACGGCAAGAAGAGCGTAAAGTCACGCGTAAAAGTTGCTCTGTGCTGAAACGCAAGTGGCTCTGAAATGCTGGAGCCCATAATCATCGGGGAGTTCAAGAAGCCAAGGTGCTTTAAAAGTGAAGAGATCGCGGAGAATGGCATCGCATTCGCTGCGAGCTCAAACGCCTGGATGACTGTAATCACCTTTGATAAGTGGCTGCATAAATGTAACCTTCGAATGCATGGTCGCAAAGTACTGCTACTTTTCGATAATGCTTCCAGTCACAAGGTCCAACAAGAATTCCACAACGTCAATGTGTTTTTTTTCGATTAGCATGACTTCCACTATCTAGCCGCTCGATGCAGGTACGCTTTAATCTCGTAAGTTGTATATGTGCGTCCTAAATCTTCATTAATCTCCTCACCTACATATATGTTATACAGGTATCATCCGATCGTTTCAAGCTCGCTACAAGAAACTTCATATGCGATGGCGTATGGGTCTGATCGAAGCAAACATGGAACGCAGACTTAATGTCCTAAAAGCCATTGAGTTTGCAGCTGAGAGCTGGAACAGTATTGGCGGGGATATTATTCGAAGTTGCTGGGACGAGAGTGGGGTCATCGAAGCGCCACAGGTTGCGGATTTGCGTGCACAAAACGATTATCGACAGTCCATCCTCGCCTTCCAACAAGACTGCTGCGATCTGGCTAATATGTTTTTTTGAAGCTTAGTGTAACCGTTTGCGTGGATGATTATGTCGAAATCGAGGACCGCAGGCAGATTTACGAAGAACAAGAAGCTCTGATTGAAACAGAAGTGGAGCCCGCGGAAGTCGAAAGCGACAAAGATCAAGCGCCTGTCAGTGCAAAATAAGCACTAAAGTGCTGCCTGATTTTGCTTTCGTACTTCATATGCTTAGATGAGGACAAGCGAATCATACAGTCAGATCTGGATACAATGTCGTCAATTCTTCGCAAGAACCGGCACGCTAGGGTGAAATAGCTCGACATGATAGACTTCATATAATAAAGAAAAGTTATATTTCATGGACGTCGGCGGGTCGCGCTTTAAACAATATCATGCAACTTCTTTCTTGCAGAGTCTCTATAAGAAACTTTTTATACGACACGCTGAATAAATTTGGCACAAAGTCGTCTCTTCTAGAGAGGGGTGGGTGTAATCGCACTAAAGATAATAGGTTTGGTTGCTTAAAAGACTTCCAAGTCATTATCTTAAGCTGCTTCGAAAGAACGATCAGCCGCATTGGGACTGAGACACGGGCCAAACTTTCTAGGGCATCAGCGGGAATTTCGGACAATGAGCTAAAGCGTGATCAAGCATTCAAGTGAGTGATGACGGCTAATTATGTTGTAAGCTCTTTCGTCAAGGAGGAAAATGACAGAAAGGTATGAGACCGGTTTATCGCCGGTTTTCGTGTACCTTAGCTAATATTAAATGCTTACATCACTTTTCGTTTATTTTGTTAGTAAAATAGCTTAAGAGAAATACGAAGACCGTGGCATCCTGTTTTTGCAAGCCATTTTTCATAAATTGAAATATGAGAAAGTACTGGAACAAGCAAAGAAACAAAAATACTGGAATTTTCACGAATGGGTCAATTCATGGCCGTTACAAATTTTATGCAAAGTCTCAAATTTGTTACTCGATCTGTTATAACTGTTGTGGGGAATAACTCGCGAACAAATTTCCACGACATACTACGTTCACGAGCACTGATAGCCTACGCGAGATCGTCTTGGCTATATACCTTTCTCTTTTCGTCATGCGTCGTTGCAGTATGTGATCAATCTGCGTTTGACGCGTGTGGGCGGCCATAAACTGATCCATTCTATAAACAATCCAATAAGATCGCTCAGAGTTGTCAGAACTAGCATTTGATTCGCTACTGCCGATTATCGGCCAAAAACTAGTCGTCGGTCATAATGTGGCCTTATGCCTATCTAAAAAGAAGATTTGACTAATCTCCGTGCCAGCAGCCGCTGCATCAGAGTCCATCGAAATTCCTCACGAACGTTCTTCTCTGATCAAAGCAGCATTGGAAGACGGGTCGTCTGACTCGTCCGTGTTATAGACGATGAGTATGCTCAACATCGTCAGATTAATTGAGAAAAAAAGATAGACTTTTCTCCACCTCCGTGCGTTCCAACTTCGGAGCAATCACCTCTGGATTTCACTGATGAAGTCGAAAATGGCTCCATTCATGCAAGCTGTAGTAGAGTTATAAATCCCAGTCCGTCGCAAAAAAGAGAGCAGGAACCAAAACCAGCGAAACCAGTAAGAATGAATGACCCAAAAATGTATGCTATCGTCTCCGACGAAGATGGCTTTGCTAAGGAAAATGAGCTATCAGGAGGCAACAGCACTTTGAATCCTGACTCAAGTAGCTCTTCTACCGGGCACAAATGTGGCAGAGATGCCGATATCAAGTCGTCACCTAATCAGGAAACAACTGCTATTCCGACTCGCACATGTAGTAACATAATGCAATCTGATTGAGTGCGTACATGCAAAACGCGTCTTCAGGAAGTCAGCACAAAGTTTTGCACCTCCAACGCAATTTCAGGTCATATTCAGTCAATTCTTCGATCGTCGAATTGAGTTTGACTGGTACTAGATGCGCTGCAGATTGCAGCTGTATTATACTCTTCTTACCGCTTATACTGCACAGGTAACAATCCAAGAACCGCCAAAGTAAGCACTACGCCATCCTGAATCACATACCAATATATTAGTGCCTGTATCATTACCCTCATGGTGACAAAAGTATCGAATTAGCAAGAGCATTACCACAGATGTGGCCTAAGTGCGCGAATTTGAGCTTTTGCACTTTTGAAATCTGCCTGTGGAAATTGGTCGGCTCCAACCTATTAAAAAAGAATTTTACAGTAAGTCTAAGCACGTTGGTACGTTACTGCACATGGGCACGGTCCGAGAAATTCTAGCACCACAAAGATAAATATCCTTGCCGACTGGTCAATATTTTGAAATTTCAAAAGAAGCATAGCTAACGCAGACCATGCCGCGTACGGAAAGAGGATCAAGACTATACGGAGTGCAAAAAATTTGTAGTCTGCCTCATGTGTGAAATCAGTTGACGCTTCTAGACACACTGATTGCACTGGCTCGAATGAGCACCAGATCATGCTTCTTGGCAGCTTTGCATATAAAGCCTAGGTTAATATATCTTGAAATGGAGTCTCATCATCGCTGTTAACGCTCCATCGGAATAGAATCGAATAAATAATCCCCTTGGTGTACGGAATAAATGTGGCTCGCGCAAGAGATTGACCGGCCCCTAAGAAAACGGCCGTATTCTTCAAAAACTTACTTAAGAACGTCTACCGGTCTGTGCCATTCCTTAATTCTATGTCGCCCTCAAATTTAGCCGATAACGCTGCGGTACGAGTGACGGAAGACAGAGAATGGTTGTTTATGCCGCATCCTGAGACACGACCTTGCTGATCTTCATTCCACGAGAAACATTCTATCCTCATCAATAGCCCATCTTTCACAAGCTACAACCTGTTAATTGAATATTCGCTCTCTGTAAGGGTACCAACGAGTTGCTTCGACACTTGCAAATGGTCGGGTAGCTACTTCTAAGTGCTCTGAAGACTTAGCTTTGTCCTGGCCGAGGTTTCACTTTCCGTGGCGTTGCCAAACATGCATCTCGTAGCGTACCTGCTAGGTACTGTAGGATCAACTATTTTGGAAATCGCGGACGGCGTCAGCAGCTTCTGCGTAGGTCACTGGATACGTAAGCCTCTCATCGGCATTATGTCCGAATAAATCACCATAAATTGAGTCGATGTGCGAGTAATACGCATACTCACATTTTCTTGCTTTGCCTACTGAACGCATTACATTATGCGACGGTCAATCCTCAATTATTTTCTTTGTATCCCTCGGGCGCAAGCTTGCAGACGGTTACAGCAAAGAAAGCATCTACGACCGCATTCTTCATATCACCAGACTCGCCAGCACCATTTTTTTCATTGCTCCGACAGAACGGGGTTGAGCTTGAACGAAAGAAAGACGTTTGGTGCCAAGTAAGACACCATCCGCCTCCCTGTGGAAGTCACGTGTCGGATTTCTGCTGGAGATAGTATCGGTTTATAACATGCACGCTATCAAAATTGCAATCTTATTACCAAGTGAACCGTGTCGACGCACAGCGAAGAGCGCAATCTTAGCTTCCGAACTGACGATACTGTATTTAGACGCCTACAGGGGCTCGAACACTTAGCGTTTCACGGTCACCATCAGCATAACCCTTTCCGGAATGAGCTAACTTGGCATACGTTCTTCGCAGGGAGATATATACTTAATGCAGAACTTGTAGCCGAAAGCGCATGACTCCTGTGAGCTCTTCATGTCGACTAAAAGTTGTTGTATACAACCAAAAATGTTCATTCGACAAGCATTTCCTCGAAAGATTCCCAGCTTCGACTCGTGTAGTGTAGACTCAATCGAGTAGTTGATTTAGCTTTCCCGCTACTTTTGAAGATTTCGACACGTCACGTCCACTCGTAAAGTCGAGGTCTTGGCTGCTTTGTCTTGTGAACGTTAAACTTTGATGCTGGATATATTGACAGTTTTCTTGCCATCTACGATTCGTGCGGTCATTATGTTTTTCGTGTTTCACGCCTCAGATATAATTACGTCGCAAATTGACGGAGCACCCGGAATCGTTTCTTTTAGATTGTTGCATCGGGGGATGGGACTGCCAGTCGCTATAGAAAGAGACCCTGATGAAACCGGTAACACAGGACAAAAAATACCATTTGATTAGACGCGTGCCAGACGCAATTTGCCCTCCCCCCCCGCCGGGAGGGGGGCTCCTCAGTGGATTACCGATAACTAAGTGATCTATCTCTTTCGTGCGGCCTCTGCCGCAGCTACAAATTTACATATGCTAAGAGTCTTCTAGAACTACCTCACCTATCAACTACATCAGCACTACCTAACAGACTTCACCGGAGAACACTCAGTATCCGGCTACACCCGAAAATTTAACTTCTAACCGAACCCATCAGCATCGAGCTTGTCTCACTAAATGCCGGCGGAAGAAAATCTGGACCCGCGAGTATCTGTGGGTCGTTTCGACCAGTAGTTTTCGGTATTATATGGATAGCATACGCGGGTACCAGGCCTATCATTAAGCTTCCCCTGTCTAAATTCTATTTTAATGATATTAATCGTTTATTCAGTTTTTAAGGTGATGGATTGTCTCAATCAAGCGAGCGCAACTCGCGAAATGCTAATATGTAGGTCCTTAGTTCGAAATCTCTTTTGCAAGTTTAAGCCTACTTCATCATTCGACTGCACAATTGCGATCGATGTATCGTGCCTTACTGGTCGTCTAGTTGCGCATTACTAAAATGTCACATCGGAACTCGCTCGCTGCCTACACGCACATCTTTTGTTTACCTCTTGCACGCCGTGACAATTCTTTCACAAGTAGACTCACACTCTATTTCGACCCTCTCAGCCATAAAAAGAGGGAGTCAATACCAATCAGAGAGGTGGGATACGACCACGAGCGATAGATGCCGGAATATGGGCTTGCTTCGAGCCCGATGGCAGTTTATATTGTTGGAATTGTAGCGGTCATTGTGGACACTCATTTTTTAATCAACACTTTAGCTGCGGTGATGAGTAGGTATTACTCTCATCGATTTGAACTGTCATACATCCACATTCGCATCTACTACCTAGTCAACCCTACGAATTTTAGGATGCCGGTTTGATATGAGGTGTATTTTGTTGGTTGAAACACCCTATAGTGTTGACGATTGCGATTTAGCAAAGCGTATAGGGCCTCACATACAACTATCTGGTTTGGCCGCTGC